GCCACTTGGATATTACTTCCAAAATCTTTACTAGACGGGAACAGAACGGTATTTAAGTCAAACAAGTCTTCCGTTTTTTTTTTTAGATGTGTAAATTATTCTCCATTGTCCCTCCTTTCCGTATAAGCCGCAAACATCTATAAAAGCGTTTGATTTATAACTCGAAAGTTTTGTCAAAATTCATTTTGTTTAGAGGTCTCGTCCCCCACGGAGTTGGTTCAGCTACACAGTCTACACAGGTTTTTATTGTATGTTGTTAATTAAGTCAAATAGCGCAAATTCGGATATTTGTATTAGAAGGACACGGTCTTAATTACGTGAACTTGCCGTAGTTTCCGAAATTACTAACCCGCACTGGGATACACTAGCCCGGGGCACCGACACCACGTCACCGTCGATCAAATCGACTGCAACAGGCAGTTGTCCTTCACTGGTCAGTGGTGTGTGTTGTGTCTGCGTTAACCCGTCTTCGTTTTTTTTCGTGGTTTTATATAGTAAAAAGTTTGAAGGCTCAACTTCCTAACTAATAAAACAACAGATAAGAGTAGGACGTTCACCGCTCGCACCGAAAATGGGCTCTTCCCATTTAAATCTCGCCGGTTAAAGTTTTGTCACGTGTTTGCGATTGCTCTAACCTTAAGGAGGATTAAGACGGGATTGCGAGAAAGACAAGCAACGCAACTTATACATTGTCTCAATATTTGTACACTTATGTATAATATGCAAATACTTACAAATTAAAGTATGATTTTTTCAACACTTAAAATTCTCACTCTAACAAAGTAAATTATAAAAAATTCATAAAACAAAGGGGTAGCCTTTGTGGAAGGGCAACGTGGCAGGAAAACAAATGAAGGCCATACCAAAAAGGTGCGGAGGCGCCTGACCGGTAGACATCTTAGACCTCTTAGTGTCTTTCGGCAGCAGGTTCCCGTCCGAAGCTAAGCGACTGGCCGGCAGTGGCTGGAATTAAACAAATGCAAAAATTTGGCCGTAGTAACTTCAAACGTGACCCAGGGTTAGCGTTAGCCACACCTTAGGGTAGCCAAATTGAAACACACTGCCCCCTAGCTGCGGTATGCTTACAGGATTCACACACACACACACACACACTTCACACACACACTTCACACAGACATCCACACAGAGGAGAAAAGCTCCCGGGCTGAATGGTGGTGTATTAATCACACTGATGCCTGGCACTGCGATCTGTGACCCAGTCTTTTAATTGCATCCGCTCTGCTCTGCTCCCGCTCTCCCTCTTTATCTTGCCTCTTTCCCCTTTCTCATTCCTCAAGCCTCCTCATGCCCGTGCCCATGAGAGCAGGCTAATGCAGAGATAAGAGGGAGGGCCGGCGATGTGCAAAAAAACAAAACACTCACACTGGCAGCAAATGCAGCAACATTCAAGCCATAACGTGGAGCAAAAGCTTATTGTGCGATATGCTAGTGAGGTGTTGTGTCGATAGAATTAAATATCAGTGAGGAAATATTTTATAATCCGAGACAACCTTTGGAAAAACAACAACACATGATCCTTTACATGTAAAACTGCCGAAAGACTTTCTATATCCAGACGAAATAAAAATAAAAGTGCGATAAGGTGGGCTGCGTTGTGGGTGGATGTTTGCCATATGGATACAACAGTTTACTAACAATGTGACATGGTTACCTTCAGCAACATAAGTGCATCTGATAACAGGGTGTGGTGTTTAAAAAGTGAAACATGAGCAGCACTGACGCACACAAATACAGGTTGACAACACCTTCACCCCCATGCACACACACACCCATGGGAACACAGGAAGTCGATGACACCCATAGCCATTTATGCATCAGCTGTTTTAATCGTATATGCAAAGAGCCGGTGTCACACACTCCCATGTCCCTCTTCTTACTTTCTGACTGTCTGTTTAATTCTCTCACTCAGGGTCCCTCGCATGTCTGAGCACACACAGCGACACGCGCACACACGCAAACTCACACACACACACTTGAGTCGCAGTGGTTTCCTTTTGTGAGAGCGAGCTGTCAGAGGGAACTGTGTGGGCTTTTGTTAAAACAGAGAACTGCAGAGGCAGAGAAATTCATTTCCAACTGCGGCAAAAAAAAAAAGAAGCCTTTTCAGGAAAGTCACATTGTACCTGCAGTGTTTTAAAAACAGCAGCATGTAAATTGAATTAGTTATGAGCATTCCTGTGGGGGCTGTATTTCAAAAGAGTTTCAAGGGTTGTGGATGTACCGCATGGGGGGGCCCAGGGTTTGACTACAGATCTGCAAGACGGCGCACTTTAGTTGTGATAAATCACGACATCTGAAAATAGATTTTACATCTTTACTTGCCAATCACGCCCGCTCCGCCGCTGCTACTCCACCGCCCACTGAAAGATGTAAACTTTTCTCATTTCTTTTGCCTCCCGTAGGTGGAGGGAATATTACAACTCCACTGTCTCTTGGGTAGCTGCTATAATGTCACAGTCAGGTGAAAACATTTAGTCTGTCTTCATGGTTTGAGTTTTGTGGCTTGTTTTAGTTCATCAAAACCTTTTGGCTCCCCAATGACAACTTTTGAAAATGCTTGACAGTCAAGCTGAAAACAAGTCGGGTTCTTTCTGGTGCTGGAAAGCTGACATCTGGGAGAAGGTGGAGGTTATTCACGGGACTCAGATGTTTGACTTCATTGCTATCAGGAGTGGGTTTACTGCGTGTTTGTCATGTGGAACTAAGGATCTTTAAAGTGGATCTATCATGCTATATTTGAATAATATAGTGTAGGACCATACCTATATAAGGCATATTTATACTTTTTATTTTTCAAAATACCAAACAGATCATGCATTTTAGCCATTCCTCATTTCGCTCAATTTAACACTGTCTTTGCATGGGCTGATTCTGTGAGAACAGCACCATCTACAGGCCTGGCATATGTACTACAGCGTCTCCAGCGCTTTCGAACGGCAATGTCCGTGGCTGTCTCCTCCTGATTGGTGGAGTTGGCCCAATAGCAGTAGGGCCACTTCTGTGACGTTCAACTTTTGTGTTGGAGAGATAAAAGAGTATGTTTAGAGAATTCCCTGACGTTTTGTCTAGACTTATGGTCTGACTGGGTCTAAACTTGT